CCAGGAGGCGACAGCTAAAAAGATAGTTCTTATTCCAAGAACAGAATGTGTAGCATTTTACAATGCCACCAGGATTAAATAAAAGCAACCAAAGGCCTTATCACGTTGGTGAATGACTTGACCTCTATGATTGGAAAACAATGGGAGAGAAACAATGATGCTCATCACATGACTGAAACATTGCTGCCTTATTTATAGCAAGAGCCAGAAAGAAAGGCTGCTGTAAAAATTGTTTTGCTGAAAGATGAGATCAAAATAGAACCTTCTGGGTTTAATGAGAAGAGTTATTTTTAGAGAAGAGAAAATATTGGTTTGAAAAGGGGGAGCTGCGTACCATCTTTGCAGCATTATTGTAGCTGTGCCACATTATGGATGTTTTGCTCATTCAAAATAGCTTTCTAGCGCGGACACAGATCCTGTCCAAACGGATGACAAAACCTGGACAAATGGTACTATAAACACTATTTGCGGATACTGATGCAAAAAGAAGCTAGATTTCACCCTAACCCTAACCCTAACTTGCAGATAGGTAGTAGATATGTTCCCTCATTATATAGAAGTATATTTTCATCTGTAGCACATCTGTAATTCTCCAGAAATAAATTATTTCGCATGACAGCCCAGTCATGTCACATAACAGGATTCAGATAGAAAGATAATGTGACTTTTAGATAAGAAGAAAGAACCATCTACAGTAAGATCTAGTCTGTAATCAAACGAGAGACCTTGACTAACAACCGATGCTGGAAGTCCATAATATATATTAGATAAATGGAAGTGAAAGGAATACAGTAAAAAGAAAGACAAAAAAAGAGATGATATAACCAAGTGAGAAGTTAAGAGAGTCGTGCTTTGCCGAGATTAGCACCACCGCATTTAGCTTTAGGTCCTCTACTCCCACACTGTGCCTCTCGTCTACACTTCCTCTCTCTCTCTCTCCATTCCATCACTTCTGTATCTATCTAACCATCATCTCTCAATCATTCATCCAGCTATCTATCACTCATTTGTCTTTAAACTAAAGACACCCCCCCCAAAAAAGAACTCCCCATCCAGACCACAAAGCCTGGAGAAACCTATAAGCATCAACACCACCGGCCGCTCACCTGCCTTGCCCCCCTTTACTGAAACCCAACTCTTCTCTTACATAAAGAGATACTTTGACTGTTAGAATGCAGAAACTGTTGTGCAACAGCAAAGAAAATATCTCAGGGTCAGTGAGGAGGAAAAGAGAATACAACAACAGAGTCGTGAGTGACTATCGTCTGAAAATAAAACGGCACCATTAAACCTTAGCGTTTTATGTAATGTGCAACTGGAGAGCTGCAGTATCATTCAATGACCAAATAAGTTAAAAGACATTTTCAAATGTACCTATTTTTTATATCAACACACCCATTATGCAGCCAACAAGATGTCAGGAAGCCAGTCACTCATCCTGTACCCACTTACATTTAAAGGTAACAGCATTATTTGACAAATGCTGCGCTCTGTACCTGCCATCTGCTTTGGGAGCATTAATAAGAGTGACTGAATCTTTTAAACTGCTGCAATGCTAATGCATCTAACCTTCTGTAAAGCCAGCCCAATGCATAAATAAATCATTTAATAGAAAGGCAAAATCCCAAAAAAAGAGCAGACAATATCCGAAAAAACGCATTAATAGTTCGACGACTGAATCCTATGCTGCAATAACACAGATTAGAACTGAATAAGGAAAATACACACACACACAACCACAAGCAGCTCATTTATTTTCACACAGTTCACACTTTGATTGCATTTTATTTTTCAACTGGTACTTCATTCGGTTAAGATGTCTTCCAGTTATAAAGCTAATCCCTTGTGTAAAATGATGAGGAAAATAATTACATCTCCGCCCCAAATATAATTTATTCCGAACAAAAAAGCCAATAAGCTTTAAGAATTCACAACTGTTGTCAAAGTGATGGTTAAACAATTTGTGAATGGTTTTTGTACATCAGACCAATCGGCCCATGGAGAAGGATTTCCTTGTTAATGAAGTGTGGAGTGGAGCCACTGAGGACTGTGTATGTCACCAGATTTACACCACAGTGGTCCTGTGATTCCCTGAAGCTGTAAAACAATGAGGAGGTGATTGGAGTAAATTACACTACAGTTGCCAACCTCCAGACTGCTCACTGCCGTTTCATGGTGTCTCTCTCTTGCAAACAAATAGTCTTTCTCTCTTTCCCTGGGTGACACATGTACAAACAGACAGCTATTTTCTCTCAACCTCCCACACTCACTTTATCTCTGCATGACATTCTGTCTGCCACTTTTTTCCAAATGTCAAGAGACAACACTGCTGCGTGACCAACAAGAGACTGAGAGGTCATTCCGCTTTCTTAACATAATGCTGATACGGCAACCATTTCATTATTGTTATTTTAGATCCAGATTGTCTCAAACACCGGAAGACACGTATTCAGTTTATCTCTCCATCTCAAGTATAAAACACATTTGTATATATAGCTTCATTTAGGTTACATTAAACCTGCACTTACTGACATTGTCTTCATATTTGTAATTTGGGGATAAGTTATCTCCTTATTCTAAATGTAAACACAAATCAAGTCCAATACCAGACACATATCAACAATAGATCCGTTCTGCATGGACAACAGATATAAAATTAAGCTAACCTCTTATATAGCCCTTCCTTTAGTTAAAAATATATAAACAGAGAATTCAGTGCCGTGCATTTAATATTTTTATATTAAGTATAAACCATGTGTTGCTCTGCTTTGGCTCTATTTGTCTAGGATGCGGCACCTGATACTCTGTAGATCTGTGACATATTCTACACTTTGACACACAAAAAGACTGTAGGTGAATAAATGCGGATCACAACTTGAGAAATATTCTAAAAGCATTCTAAAATGCTGACGCACTGAGAAATGCTTGGTATCAGTTGGTGCTGCACTGCCAGAAGGTAAAAAAGAATCTCTAATTCAAAATGAATCCATAAGCAGGGTGAGAGGGAGTCTATTCAAAAACAATTAGCAAATTAGAACAACCCTTTGCAGCCCAACTCTTTGCACATGCTGAGTAGAATGAAATAAGTTCTGAAGTGCCACTTACTTTTTGCACCGCTGTGGATTTGTATAATAAACAGATAACTGACTAATTTAGTCTCTTGATACATTAAGATAACATGCCCCCAGTGCCATAACTGTAACAAGACTAAATCTTACAAGTGAATCAGTTTCATGAAAAAAGTGCCTCATCTTGTTTTAAATTGCACTTGCACTGAGAACAAACTGAGAAATGCAGGCAGTGCATTGGTTCAGGTATCTCACATTACATCATCTCTTTTAGCAGTTACATTCATAGCACCACATCTGCATGTAAACACATGCAAATTATCAATATATCTAGTTTGAACCAAGAAGGTGAGCCTGAAGTAGTGCATCAAAAGGAAGAAAAAAACGAAAAAGAATTCTGCAGTAAAATCATTATGAAATCAACGTTATACTATCACTGCTGATGACCATTCGAGACGGACATACATAACTGACATAGAAACAATTCACATGTTTTGCTCTTTAGTATAAAGTTCATACCTACAAATTCTATAAAAATAGCACCCATGCACATTAAACTAGACATATATACAGCATTAGCGAAAGCAAGAACATCCTAATTTGAAGTTCTCTTATACAGTTTAACAGTGATGTGCAGCACCTGTGGATGATTCCTGACTATTAGAGCTGCTGGGGGCTGTTATTAGATCAAGACCATCAGTCTTGCTAGAAACTGTATTTAGGCGATGTCATTGAGTTATGGAACTGGCAGGCCCCATAGTCCCACTTTCCCTGAAACTTATTCGACACAATGACTGACTGAAAGACAACAGGGAAGAGAAAATAAGGAGATGACATAAATGGAAACCGAGAAAACACATGGACCGTATCACCTCATGTGACAAAGATTTAGATTCTCCAAGAAAATCGGCAATATAACTGTCTCATCACTTCGAATTAAAATACAATATGTTCAGCTCCGTGATCCTCGCCATCCCCCCCTCCCAGAAAAAAAAACAGAATTCATGAATTTCAAAATTCCTATTAGATTGATGTCAATTCCGTCACTATTCTGTTCCAGATGCCACAATGAAAGTGTGTGTGCGTGGGGAAAATGGGAGCAGAGGAATTGGGACACGAGAGAAAGAAATGGGGTGAAGGAGGGGAAATGGAGTGAGAAGAGAAAGAGAGATAGGTCGTAAAAAATGGAGAAGGAGAGGAAAATGGTAGGCGTCAGAGCAGAGGAGCGGGAGGAAGGAGGAGGCTAAATTGGATAGAGGGGGGGGGGAATGAGTGGGGAAGATTGGAAAGGTGCAGAGAAGAATAGATATGAGTCAAAAGGAAACGATGATGTGGAGGCGAAAGCAACACAGGCTTATAGACAGCCAGAAATAGAAGACTAATTAATGGACAAAAACTGCAGGCAAGCAGGTGCGGAGAGAATACCACTGCAGGAGGGAATAGATGTAGTAATGGGTGGCTTCCTTTACTAACGACTTAAAAAGAGAGGCATTATGGGGTTTCTCTTTTCACATATTTAGCTCACAAAGCAGAGAAAAAAATGAAAGGGTGTGTAGGGGTAGCAGAAAAGGTGGAGACCAACAAGTAATATGAGTCACAGAAACAGAGATAGAGTGTGAAGAAGATCAAGAATAAGAAATTATCCTGGGGAGAGGGTTTCCACAGAGATATACTGACACATACGCCTGCCAATTTCTCGTCTGTGTGTGTGTGGGGGGGGTGGGGCATTTAAGTTCAACTGCAAACAAAGTGTAATTACTCAAAGGCCTTATCGCCCTGCAACCTCCCCACAAACGCCGCTCAGCAAACAAAGTTCAAGCCCTAGAGTTTCCCACCGGTGTGGGCGAAAAGCATGTGATCCGCCAAAAGCTAACAGACAGCGCACCCAAAAAAAACCAGCCCGCACACTGACCATCTGCCCGTGTGCAATGCTCACCATGTGTGTGCGACAGTGAAGCGCCTCTGTTTGTGGATGTTGTTGTTGAGCAACATGCGGCGGAGCAGTCGCGGCGAGTTGCGCGGAGACAGGCGGGGGGAGATGGAGGAGGGCGACCGCCGGTGCCCCCGCGGCCTCTCCGGCTGCAGCAGGTTCTCGCGCAGGATCTTCACCAGGTCTTCGTTCAGGCCGGAGTGCTTGGGCATGGGGGGCACCGCCAGGGTGTCCTGGTGGGTCACCCCCACGCCTCCCTGTTGGGCCATGCCTACCCCGGCTTCACCACCACGGCCTCCACCGGCAGCCAGATGGATCAACAGCAAACGCAGTCTCAAGATGATGGAGATCAAGTCAACACCAAAGACGAGGTGCCTCGCCGCCGTCAAAGTCTTAGATTAGAGGTCTGCTTAAAATGGGAAATCAATTCTTAAAAAAACTCTGAAAAATGAACAAAAAACAGAATCTCCTTTTGCATTAGCTCACACTAGTCCCTCCCTTTGTGAAAAAAGCTGGGGAAAATTTTAAAAAAAAAAGAGAAAAATCCTCAGTGTCTATTTTTTCATCTTTACCGGAGCCACCAGAAGAATCGAAGTGCTGAGGACTGCTGCCTTTGTCTCCTCTACACTGGATGTCTGCAGGGAAAGTGCAGTGGAGAAGGTGAGGGCAGGATGAAAGACGGCAGGAGGGTGGGAGGGATGCAAAAAAGCAAGGAATTCCATGCCAGCCCTTTCTTCTCTCAGCATCCAGGACAACTCCAAACAGTCCAGCGAAACCAAGTCCTGCAAGTCTTCACCTGAGCTAATTCAATTCATCTGAGCCAGGAGCAGCCCCGTTCTTCGTCCAAAAGTCAAAAGGAACCTGTAGGACTAAAATGATCGTCCGGTGTGACCCAACTCAAAAAGATTCAGAATTTAGGTCCATCCGCTCAAAGCAATTGTTCCTTGCCTTCTCTTCTCTTACAGAGAGACTGACTGCAGTCTGCAGCCAGTTTATAAGCTACCGATCCTTCAGAGCTGAGCAGAGCGTGAGCATGTGTGAGTGTTTTTAGAGAGAGAGTGAGAGAGAGAGGCTGCGTGTGTGTGTGTGTGCGCATTAGAGAGAAGAATGCTGCAAACGGCACTAAAACCACGCTATTAGATATTGAGGAGTTTCCAGCGTCCCAGCAGCAAGGCTCATCTTGAGAAAATCCCTTTCAGATGAGAAAATAACACGATGTGCTGAATTTGAATCACATTTGCACACGAGAAGAAGAGGCACTGCAACAGAATCAACCAACAGGAAAATGTCATCTATCATTAATCTTCTGCTTCTACCTTTCTGTGTATTTATCAAATGAGAGTAGACATACAGGCATTACTGTTTGATAGATCAATGGCAGCTCATCTTGCATCAATATCCTCCCAAGCTTGAGATATCCTCATTAAGACTGCCAACAGACATCCTAAAATGAATAAGAATTTATGATAAAACAGATAATGAGTTTGCCTTCAATTGTTCCATGGTATTCCACTATTATGAGGCAGTTATTAAACCAGGCCCAATGGGTGTAAGCAACTCCCAAATCAAGGCATTCCAGATATGCAGCTCCAGCTACAAAGAGGTGAAAATGCAGATCCTAACACAATCACAGAATGTCTTTCTGGCTTCGCTTTGCATTCCTGAGATTTAAGGAAACAAGATTAATGTGCTCCTGCCCTCCACAGCTGCAGCACAGCAGTGATATGACCTGTGTGCCAGCATCAGTCTGAACATTCACCTGCTCACAACGATGATGTACCATTTAGTGGTTCCCCTTGTTGTTCAATGTTGTTGTTCGACATGTTGAAATGTCGTTGCATGGGTTAGCACAGTTCAGCTGAGATCAACAGGAGCGTCATTAGCTTCTCAACAACCAGTTACTGCTATAAAATTAGCGGTTTTTACTAATCAGTTTAGCATGACCCCTTAATGCTGCTGGAAGAAATTAGTTAATCAAAAAGCAAAATCAGAAGATCCTTTACTGTATTTTGACGCTCTCAAGTCATCGAATTGAAAGCCATGAAATATTTTATGACAGCTGGACAACTGGTTAACTGCTCAAATGTCACATTTGGTGCCATTAAATTCTTCCTTGCATCATTAGATTATTTTAAATCTGAGGTCTTTGAATATCTACTTGCTCCTGTTTTGTGTGGTTTTAAAGTAATAAGTCCACTATGTTCAGATGAAAACATTTTAAATGTGTACCTGTCCTTAAAGAATGAAAATAGGATACACGTTTCTATAATTACAGCACAACCGACTGCAAAATTATCCAAGCTATTTTCCTTGGAATGGGACCCAATTTGATAGGGATGGGATATTCTATCTGTATGTAGAATGAAAACAGTAGAACAGCGAAAGACTAGCTATAGCCTCTTCTGTTGGATAAGAAAAAAGATTAAATGATCCAGATACATGTCTAAGTCCAGACTAAGTGACCACTGCGATTGTCCTTAAAACCATTTAATCGTCACGGAATACTAAAATAGACCAAGTGCCTTCTCATGAAATGATGCAAGTAATATCCTAATGACAAAAAAAGGAAACAAAAGGAAACAAAAAGTAAGCCACCTTAAGATGATGAATATAATGTGGCATACCATATCCATTTTTTGTATCTTTAAGTCCCAATGTGGAATAGAAGAACACATGAATGTTTAGGTGTTTTTGTAAAATGATTTCATTCTCTAAACAATAGCTGCAGGACATTAAGTGGAACATGCCCACACATTTTACATATAAATCAATTGAACGTTTACGTTTTCAATACATGATTTTTTAAAGAAGATTCAGTCAGTCACTATAAATTGGTGAGTAAACTAAAACAAATCTATGCAAAACTAAGCTGTGGTATTCGAAGACAATAATTGTAGCAGTAATAAAGCTCATATTTTCCTTAATTCTTTTTCTACTATCATTTAGATGAGGGAAAATACTTAGTTTTGAGAATATGCTGTTTGTCTTTCACATGATAAATTTCCCTTATTGCTGTGATTGTTTTCCACTTCCTGTCAACGCTTTTCTTCATCTCATCTGCTTCCTGTCTAACTCGGCCTCTTCTTCTCTGGTGCTTTGTAACATATTTTTCTCTCATAACCGCTCCCCGTTGCTGTGCATGACGTCTTTGAGCATTCCCTCCTGGTTACCAAGGGCAACATGGATGGAGAGGGACAAGTGGATTTGTCAAGAACTAAAGGCTAGAGGAACAAAAGCAAGATAGAGGAAGCCAATCTGCAAGACGAAAGTGAAGCACATCCAATCACTCAAACAGACCCATACCATAGAAACACGACAATGCATAAATGAATTAAAAACAGAAACACCAACCCCAAACACTGTAGGCACTCAGAAAAATTAAAACAACATGTTAGAAAACACACAGATAACCACTTTTACAAAAGCGACTGGTGGTTTTTGTCAGGTTTTCAACAATATGAATTAAACCATTCCGAAGATTAAAAAACATGTTAAAACCCCCAGATTCTACAAACAGTTTCATATATCTAAAAAAACAAATGCAAACCAATTTCCCACAAAATCATATTTCAGAAAACAAAGTATTGAAGGAAATCTGGAAATCTAGGCACTACCGAAGGGTAAACAATCTCAAGACAATAACTACACACTTTACATGTAGCATATCATATTGGTAATGCTGGAGACCAAAGCCTTGTGGATTATAAAATAGCTTTGCCAAAAACAAATGTGGGACTGATAGCTGAGATGCACAAATAATCTGTTTGCATTCAACTCCCTACATGTTCTTTACTTTATTTTTTCTCCTGATTTTACAAAATGAAAACACTGAAGGGTGCGCGGCCCACTCAAATTATTCATAATCTGTGAGTAAATCTGCATGCATTCTCCAATTCATCGTTGAATCTGACAGATTGGATGCTTTTCTTTGGCAGCACACAGCATGCCATCACCTCACAAAGCACAGTCTGGAGCCTGACTTGGTGTTGGCAGGGCATTTGTTTATAGACGGCTGTTTAAGATGACTAAGATCTACTACATATACCTGTTGCTATAGTTACTTCTTAACACGCATGTATGTTTTGATGCAGCCACTGGAGCTAAAATGTTGACATTCTGCTGAATGAGCAACCTGGAGTGTCAGGCTATTTAAAATTACAAAAGGACATGAATCACTGAAGGGTGGTTTTTGTTAAGAATCTCTTTCTGGGTAAGCATGGATGCAGGCAGTTCCAAACAACTACAAGTCATCCAACATGTTAATGCAGCACTGTCTCCCTCAAGTGGTGATCTTGCGCTACTGACTATCAGTAAATGATGGAGGGAAAAGTCTTAATGTGTCCAGAGCAGAACTAAGTTGAATATTAAGACATCCATCAATTTATTATACCCGCTTTATCCATGTAGCCAATCCCAGCTGTCCTTGGACATAAGGCCCACAGGACACACCTAGGACAGGTTGATGAGCTCATCACAGGGCTAAACAGACAAATGAGACCCATCCATCCATCCATCCATCCATTTTCATAACCGCCTATTCCCTAATGGGGTCGTGGGGAGACTGGAGCCTAACCCGGTAGTCAACGGGCGAGAGGTGGGGTACACCTAGGACGGTCCGCCAGTCCATTGCAGGGCCACAAATGAGACCAATTATCCTAAAATACATGATTTGGGAAAAAGAGGAGGAGCAGAGGCTCCTGGCTATATTCTAGCTTGGACCGCAGGCAGGTGAATCCAGCATCTGAACTATTCTTCTAAGAAGCCATGCTGTGTCTTGCTGAAATATGCAGGACATTGCTTTTGCATAATGGATTTATCTTGGATGGGAACATTGTGTATTTTCATACCTTTTAACAGTGATGGTAACTGTCCATATGTGGATGTTTACATAAGACTTCTTTTGAGCATTGTGTAATTCATGCATTAGTTGTTATAATAATAAGAAAAATGTTTTTTAGGGATTTTGTGGACGGCATTTGGCTTTATTGACAGAATGACGTTACTGCCCTATTATGAGTCTTTCAATCTAGACAGTTAGTCTTGTCAATCTAACTCAATCCTCATGCACGTTTTAGACATCTCTATACCTTTCCAATGTATAGTCTATTATTCATAACAATAGATAGAAGAACATAGCTTCTCATAGGGACTCATAGGGGTCTGTTATTTATCAATGGAGGTCCCATATTATGACTTGAGTGCTAGAACTTCCATCCATAACAACATAATGAAAACAGGTGACTGGAGCACCTGATTTCGGCAGTTATTTTTGTACAGCAGGGGGCAGTCTATATCTAAAAATGTTTTCACGTCTAATTCGCAGCACAATGCTGACTACGACTACATCATCAGCCAATGCAGAGACAAGCTCATTTTTGCCCATTTGCCAAAACTGACAATAGCATTTAAATGTACTCCTCTGGCAGTTTTCAGAATATCCCCAATCAGCATCATTTCCTGTCCCTTTTAGGCCAAAACAATTGATCATTTGATATCATCTCTATTTTTCAGCATGAATATGAATCGAAGCAGTTTCCTTTGTTCTGAGCAGAGACATTTTTATTACTGACTATTTATTACTGACTATTTATTACTGACTATTTAAGTTTTTGTTCATCTTTATTTAGTGGTAACAGCAGCCAATCCTGTCCAGGCAACAAGAACAATAATGTATAATAAGGCAGGAACAAGCTGCAGACAGGGCAAATTGTGAGTATATCTGATATATGAGTGAATCTTTCATTCTTACAGGTTTTACATGCAGCTGGTGAACTTTGAGGGACCTAGT